GCTTTGAATTTGCCGATGAGCTGCAAATGCATCAAATTTATTTCCATTTCCATTTGCAGCACTCAACCAACTGTTTGGCATCTGGTTTACAGTTGATGCCACATAATGTGGCATGCATGCATTTGCCATGTGTGTGTGGCTGTGTGTGAGTGTGTGCGTGGGTGTGCTGCCAACAAAGCCGCAAAAACATTTTTCATGATTTTAGTTGACTTGCTGCAAAACTGCGGCTTAATTGTTGTTCCAAACAATAAGCGGAAGCTTGCGGTGTGTGTGTGTGTGTGGGTGTGTGTGTGTGTTGTGTGTGTGTGTGTGTTGTGTGTGTGTGTGCTTTGTAGTCGTAAGTGAATATGTGCAGAGTCGCGTAACCGAATATCTGCGAGCAAAATGTCAAAGCTGCTGTCCACACCCAAATAGACGCATGCCGCATGCCGCATGCCGCATGCCTCATCAGCATCGTCTTGCGAAATCAAAATGCAAGTCAGGCGCCCCACACGCATTGCTGATGATAATGTCGGGGTTCTCTGCGGGAAAGGGAGGGGGGGAGGCTCTTTGGAAAACCATTAAATCTGCAAAAGCAAAGCGAAAGTAAGGCTAAAGGAAAACATATCCCATTTTCAAGGTGAGGCGCCTGTGAGTGTGCTTTAGTTTTTTTTTTAGCATGTAAACAATTTGACGTGACACCAAAGGCAACAGCACGCACACACAAGCACACTCACACGGACACACACATGTGAACTTGTGTGTGCACACACATATTTGCCAAGTCCTCGACAAGCAAACGTTGATAAGAGGAGCTAAGGTCGAGATACCAAAGAAAACATTTTCAAGTGTGGGAATCGTTAGCAAAAGTAAAATTATAACAAAAACATATTTGAGTCGCCTGGGCGATAGTTTTGCGATAGTGGAGAATATTTGGCTTTTAATATTAAATGCAACACGAGACGATAATTTCTTCAGCTGACCTTATTTGGATGCTAAAAAACAACAATGTTATCACTCTGGAAGATAAATAAGGGCTATTGATTTATTGAGCACGAGCACTCTTTGTTTTGAAAAACCAAGGTTCTTTTTTCTATAGAAAGGGCTGTGCTATCGCTAAATTATCGCCAAGGCGGAAGGCAGGAGGCAGAAGCGATACAAAGGCATTACATTTTATAATATCGCAGTATCTATCATCTTCCTATTTATTTGCATTATTTTTGCATTTTACGAAAAGCAAAGAACTTTGAAAATGAGTTTAAGGTTGGTCGGATGGTAAAGAAAAATGTTGTATACAAACTTTTTGTCGATTCTATCATACTTGCGGGGGGAATTTCCCACTGAAATTTTTTAGGTTCCTAGCATGGATCACCAATCAGTCAGTCAGTCCGTCAGTCAGTCAGTCAGTCAGTCAATCAGTCTGTCAGTCAAAACAAACATTTTTATACAGATACATTTCTTGATTGTAATTTTTTACCAAGAAGTTGGAGAGTAACCTGATATCAGATAATATTCATAGTCAAATAATAATCAACTTTTAGAATACATTTCTAAACTTGCCCCAAAACAAAGTAATATACATGAACACAATTTACAGGGTATAAGAACCAGAGGAAGGTGTCAAAAAAGAAAAAACCTGAGCGCAACTTTTCAACACCTGTATTGCACCTTATGTATGTATGTATATATGTATATATGTGGACATGTGTGCATGTTGAGGTGTGTGCATGTATGTACATGTATGTGCATCTGTGCATTCACATACATGCGCACATATCAATTTCTATGGCAAATCCATTTGACGCTGACGTCGGTTGGCCTACATCCCAGATGCCACGCCCCATTCTGAACAGGCAGTTTTGACACGTTCGAAAGTGATTCAATGGCTTCTACAACCTGGACATGGCACAACAGCCGGGCTGGCCAGGGACAGGCGCCAAGGGTCAGAGCACAGAGCACAGAGAACTGGGAATTGCATTGCATTTGAGTTTGAGCAGATGTTGATATATGCAAACTGTCAACATTTAAACTGGAATTAGGCGAACTGAAACGGAACGTGTCCATATTTCTATTTGTATATATGCTGATATTTGTCAAAATATATGTTATATCCGTGTGCTTGTTGTACAAGCTTTCGTACATGCAATGCCAATTAATCCCGTATTCCCGTTCCGGGCAAACGGCAGCTCTATCAAAACATCCACAAACTATTGAGAGTTGCCTTTCAATTAATTTCATTAACTGATTTGCCAAAATTAATCTATTTAAGTTTGTTTAGCCGCAAAATTGTAATTTCCAGGGCCAATATATGGGAGGAGGAGTGCCAGGAGTAGGAGCTGAAATGAGCCGAATGCTAGATAATCTGCCTGTTTCTATGCAAACTATTCTCAAAGTTCCGAAGCTCTATCATCATGACGATTTGCATAGTTGCGTATTCTTGTTTTAACAATATATAAGTCGAGGTAGGCCGGATGCTTTATGAGTTCAACCATCAGCAATATCTTATCCACTTCCTACTACGGTTGAACAATTAATGTTTATATGTTTGATTTTCTACTAAAATATCTGCAAGAGCATATAAAATCATACTACTATATCGTCTCAATATATAAAACTGCTAAGAGCTAGGAAGCTGAAATTTTCACTGTAGTTACCTTATGTGATGAAGGCGCACGTTAAGACAGGGTTCCGGTAAATTCCATCTGCATGTGTGGAAAAATTGCTTGTTCAAATGTATTTCCAAAGATCTATACGAAAAATCATTTGAGACTTGTTTCACACTTTTCGCAGAATCCAAGCTTCCTCGGTGGAAAGTGCGTTTCTAAGGTTTTTTTGATGTAGTTTTATGTTTGCATATATATGTATTCTTTTTTGTAAATATGCAAACATGCTTGCACACATGCATGCTTACATGCATGCATACATACATACATGCATACATGCATGCATACATACATACATGCATACATACATACATACATGCATACATACATACATACATACATACATACATACATACATACATACATATATACAACAACAAGCAAACAATTAAACAACATCAACAACAAACACTACACTGCTAGTTAAGCATGAAAAACTGCAGAGCCTATTTGAATTCTTGAGAATCGAGGAGGAGAGCACTTGGTGGACAAATAAGCTTGCTCTGCGTTTGGTATTAGAAAACAAGCATGCATGCATACATATGTATATATATAAATGCATATATATATGCGTGCTTACACTAACACACACACGCCCACACACATACACACACACTCCCAGCCGTAAGGCAAGCGGTCTATAGATACTTCCACAACTATTCATAAATATATGGCAACAGAAGCAGCTATCGGTGTTTAGAAGTATATGTATGTATGTATATATATATATATATCTTTATGTATATATGCATATGTATTGGTAAAAACTCAACTGATTTTCACGAGGTTTGGCTTACCGTCCGATCGGTTTTAAACTCATTTTAAAAAATCTTTGAGAGAATTTACTTTACCCGCTAGTATCCATATATATTGATAAATCTAAAAAATAAAAGAGAGAATACCCAAACAATATTTAAGAAGTCTTTTATATGCATAAGTATATGTTGTTTGTACATTAGAAAACTAATTTCACAGCAGATCAGGCAAGAGTCAAGAGCCAAGAGCCAAAGCCAAGAGCTCGTTTGCCAGCTATCCCAAAGAATTTTGCCGCACCTGAGTGCCTTTAGCTCTAATGGGCGAATCTCCGCATGTTGCACACACAACACACACACACACACACGCACATACGTGTGTGTGCGAGAGATCATAAGTCGCATTTGGGAAAAAGGAGACGCAGATCAAAGAGCAAAACCTGTTATGAAGGGGTGTTGTGCATGGGAGCTGCAACGAGTATGTGGCAAGATCGGCAAACGAGCCCACATATGTGTCCGCCAGACTTGTGGCAGGCTGGGGCTGGCATGCTTTTTGCCCGGCACGGCGACCGCGACTGGGTTCTGACCGAGTGCATTGAATCTGGCGTTCCCCCTTGCCCTTTGGCTGTCTGCCAGCAGCCAGTCAAGCGGGTCGATCTCTTGCCACAGCGCGTCGCGGGGCGTCAAGTTCATTGCACCGCCGTCTGGTGGCAATGTCTGTGCGGCACTCCGCGCTCACGTGTCGCGTCTGTACAAAACGTTCAGCTCCGTCGTTTAACATGCAAAATTATGCATCTTGATTGGCGGCTCGTTTCGTGAAATGTGAAAAATATATAAAAAAACAAGCATATTTGTTGCACTTTTGATTAATTGCAGATTTGTTAGCGCCATCGCAATTGTCCGCCTCGATGAACCCAAAAACTGGTTACGCGTCGCCGTTGATTTATTTTCTCAGTTGACAGCTGTGAAAATTGACAATGAAAATGCGTTTCCCATTTGCATACGCCTAGCAGCAGCAGCTGCGGGGTGGGAAACTTGGCTAAAATGCAGCACAAATTAATTTTTGAATTCAACGGCTGAGTGTCATAGCTGGCAGCTGCTGCATGAGTCGTTTGTTCCTTAGACACGTAGCACAGACACAGGCCATTAGCTGAAGCGCCATCTATTAACTGATTTTGGGTGTGTAAACATAAGATATGAGGGGATATTGCATACTAGCTGCAGCAGTTGCAGCTGCGGGGGTGATAAACTGGGCTAAATTGCAGCACAAATTAATTTTTAAATGCATCGGCTGACTGTTATAGCTGACAGCTGCTGCATGAGTCACTTGTTGCTTGCGCATTTAGCACAGACACAAGCCTATGCTGTGGCGACGTCTATTGACTGATTTTGGGTGTGTGAACCTTATATATGAGGGGAAAACCCGGAATATTAATAAATTTATATACAGTTAATTTAAATTGCAAAATCTTAAGATATCCTTAGAAAAGTATTAAGAAAACCAAATTTTTCAATTTCTTATCTTATTTGATCTTTATGATATATTCGACTTATTTATCCATGATTGATTGATTGATCAAAATGTGGAATACTGAGCCCATCTGGCCTAGCAGTACTTGCTCTTAAAGTCGTAGTCCTCGTCGCAGCTGCCTCCAGAGTTATTGGATAGTAGCTGATCCTTGCAGCCGTGATGCAAACGATGCACATCCGAGTCGAAGCACTCGTCATGCAGGCGCTTATCGCGGCTTTTGCTGCGCTGCCTCTGATGTCGCCCATGAAGTTGCTGGTGAGTGTAGGCGTGCCCGTGGGCATGGCCGTGATGATGGCCGTCCGTGGTAGGGCTGAGTTCACGGGGCGGGCGGCAGTGACTGGTGGGCGGCACGGGGTCATCATAACGCGGGCAGGGATGATCGCCGACGGGCGAGGCAGTCTCATAGCGTTTGGACAGCAGCGTGAACTCCTGGTGGGCCGAGCACAGAGCCTGCAGGCGATGCAATAGATCCGTTTCGGGCAGATCCCTCAAATGCAAGGTGCGAGCCACCGATGTGCGGAAGGACTGCAAATGCGAGAGGCGTTGATTCGTGTCGGACAGCTGGGCGCTGAGGCGGCTGACGTCGTCACGCAGGGACTAGCAGGGGCAAGGGAAAGATAAGTAAGATAAGAAGAAAACATATTAAGGATTGGGAGATATAATGGGGTCACTTGGACTACTCACATTGATTAGCGCCTCGTCGCGACAGCGTCGATTTTGATTGGACTCGCAGGCGGATTTCATGCGCTCCTTCATCGCATTTAGCTGGGACAAGAGCCTGGTCTTCCCATCTTCCAGATCGCAGATTTGTGTGCTCAACTCATCGATCTTGCGGGCACGCTCCAGCGCCGTGATCTTATACTCGACGGCCTCCGCGAGCTGGGCCTTGACCTCGGCGATTTGGGTGCGTGCATCCGCGAGCTGAACGCTCAGCTTGTCGACCTGCTTGGCTGCCTTTTTGGCACGGCAAACGGCCTCATCGCGCTCACCCTGCAGCATGCACTTGCCCCGCGCGCCATCCTCGATGATGGCCAGCTTGCGGCGCAGCAGCTCCAGATGCAGATCTCGGCGCTGGACTTGCTCGCGCAATACCCGAACGCGACGCTGCAGAGTGTAGACGCTGCTGCTCTCCTTGATCGGCAGATCATGGCAGGAACGCTCGCGTCGCAGCTTGCCCTGTCCATGGTGATGATGATGATGCTGCTGATGCTGATGGTGATGATGATCGCAACAGCCCTTCTCCTGGCTAACCACAGCCAGCTCGTGCTCACAGTGCGCGGCCAGACGCTCGGCACGTTCCAGCAGACTATCGGCCATGAGATTGGTATCGGCGCCCAGGGCGGGCGGCGCGGTGCACTCACTCCAGTTGAGCGCAGTGGCCAGCCGCTGCAGATAGTCGGCCAGGCCCATGTGATCCTTGCGCAGCGTGTGTATTTCCGCATGGCATTTCTCCAGGCGCTCGGCCAGCTCGCATTTCTGTGCCTCGCCAGAGCGCAGACGGCACTCGCTGGACTCGTGCGCCTCCTTCAGCTTCTCGTGCTCGCTGCTCAGCTGAGCGCGCAGCGAGTGCAGTTGCTGTGGAAGAAAGGCAGCCAGAAAGTGAGAGAGGAAGACAGGCAAGATCCAGACAGCTACTCACCGCCTGCACGGCCTGATTCTCGTCGAGTAGCTCGCGCAGCTTGTCCTTGATCAGCGTCTCGCAGGGCTCGGGCACGTTGACCAGATGGCTGAGACCGCGCAGAAACTGCAGCCGATCGCTCTGGATGCGATCCAAATTGTTTTGCAGCCGATGGCAGCGCGACTCGAAGCCGCGCAGCTCCTCCTTTAGCTTCTCGCCGTTGATCTCCGACTCGGTGAGGCGATCCCGCTGCAATTGCAAATCCCGTTCGTACTGGCGGCAACGCCCCTCCAGCTCGTGATTGTGATTCCCGGCGCCGTCCAGTTGGGCGCTCAGGCGCTGCTTCTCGATGTTCGCGAGGGACTTCAGATTGAGCAGCTCGTTCTCGCAGGAGCTGAGCGTGTCGCAGGTGGACTGCACCTTGGCCTTGGCGCGCTGCAGTTCGACCACCAACTCCTCCACTCGGGACACTACGCACTCGGGCGTCGCATGTCCCGCCTGGCTCTCGCACACATCCAGGCCCAGGCAGAGGCTCAGGCGGCGCAGCAGCCTCGTGGAGCTGCGCCTTGGCCTGCTCCTTGTGCGACTCCTCGCTGGCCGCGTGCGCCTCCAGCTGCTGCAGCTTGCACAACAGCTCCTTGTTGCGCTCATCCGAGCTGCGCTTCTCGCGCTGCACAGTCTGTATGGTGGCATCGCAGCGCGCCTGAACCGACTGCTCCCGCTGCTCGGCCGACTGCAGGCGACTCTGCAGGGAGGCTATCAATGCCGTCTGCCGCGCCGCCTGCGCACGCAGATTCTCCACATCCGACTCGCGACTACACAAGGCGCTGCGTGTCTCCGCTAGCTAAAGAAGTTAATAGGATTAAAGACACCTTTATGCTAACGTCTGCTAAATCCTAGAACTTACCTCGCCAGTGAGACGCTCCTTTTTGTAGGACAAGGCTGCCAATTCACTGCGCAGCGTCGTCGTCAAATCGATCCCATGATGATGCTCTGTAACTGTGATCCCCGCATTGCCGCACGAACTGTCCAGCTGAAAGACAGAGAGCATAGCTTGAATCATACTTGGCAGATACCCATCCGACACTTGATGGATTAGAAGGTAACAAGGGTGCAAGCCCAACAAGAATTTGTCGGTGGTTGGGTTTACGGTTGGGATTTCAACCGAAAAACCTAAGTAAAAGTCACAATAAGATTTGTCAATGTTTACGTCCAAGGTTGGAGCTTGGTTTTCCACAATTATTACCTTAAGTCTAACTCCTTAATGACAAGGGTAACGCGACTCTTGAACCTGATGGAAAACCTAAAATTTGCCCCAGCTTTAAACCTATAGAAGGTTACATGATTCACGGCTGGGACTAGTGTCTCGTCTCTAGGTTTAGTTCATGAATTTGCAGGTAAACCTTCCATTTGCCCCAAGCTTTAAGCTTATTAAAGGCATCATGGTCCGCGGTTGGAACTAGCGCCTCGCCTGTAGGTTCAATTCATAAACCTGAGGGAAAACCTTCCACCTTTCATTTAACCTTCAGCCCCAATCCTAAATAGCTAGCTTCAGGCTTATGTTCGCTTCTATTTTTTTTTGTTAAGTGGGAATCAGTTCCATTAAAATAATTTGAATATATGTAGATTTATCATAGACTTGTTCCTAATACAACTCATGTGAATGTTTCCAGTTAAATAAACTGTTTTTTATTCCAGTGCTTCCATTTCTTCCGCTTTTGCCTCGTATACATTTTAATACACAGTGGTAGCAGACTCTGCCATCTTAAATTCCAACTACTTCCGTCCGTGTAGAAATTAAAAATTCAACCTAAATCCCTTGGAGAACCCATCGTGTCCAGCTTAGCTAATCTCCCTACCTAGTAGACCTTCAGTTTTGTCCATAGACAATTAGGAATTGAAACTTCACTCTCAACTGAATAGCTAAGACTCGCTTATTGAGCCACTATAACGATCTGGTTCCGTACCAAATGATGATGATGCGGAGACAGTCCACCACTGAGGCCCAGATGATGGTGATGCAGATGATTATCACTGGGCATATTTAGCACGAATTCTAAATGAATATCCCTTTTTTAAGATCCAAGCGAACCGTTCAACGAAACCGCGCGACAGCAACTGAGCCCGCTGGCAGGATTTCCTGGTGCAAGCGATGCGGCATTGACAACAGCCTAACAACTGGGAATTTACCTCAACATAACATCACACAAGCTATATAACTACAATGCTTGTGATTTATGCTCGAGCCCGGGTTGAACGGATTGGGCTGGCAGGGTGGCGACATAAGTGAAAACGAGCTCAATGGCATTGCGAGGGGCAAATATCCAGGGAGTTCAGAGCTCGGCCACCAAACCAAAGCCTTTGCACATTCCAAACTTTTCTCAGTTTATTTTCTGTTATTTGGGTCATTCACATGGCAAATGCAATTCAAGCGAATCAACGCACGCACGCAAACTGAGATACGGTAGAGTTCCTTCCTAAATATATAGAGAGAGAACAGTGTGAAATGGTTCTAGCTTTGTAAAGTTTTTTGTGGTACTTTTTTCCAAGCGGAAACGGAAACTGAGGTGTGCAGGTTTCGGCTTGACTTGCAATTTGTAAAGTTGTCTGCGTTTTGGCTGGAACAGTAGGTTGAGTAAAAGCTTAAGAACGAAAATTATTTGATATATAAATTTATAAAATATATAGAACTAAAGGCTCTTAAGCATAATATCATAAACAATTTGTAAGCCAGGTTCAAGCTAAGCGGCTCAAGCAAGGAAGTCCAAATGTTTTTCAAAAGAAGCTGAAAAAGCTATACAATAAGATTCAATCCTAACCGAAATATATGTATCAAATCAAAAAATTAAGAAACATTTTGTAAGCCGACTTGGGACCCAAGCTTAGAATTTTGTCAAACATAAGAGATTGCTGCCAAATTTTAATCCTGCCCATATATCACACATATTATCTATCTATCTAATTATCCAGGATTTCTTTATTTCCGCCAGATCCTTTAACTCTTGGCTTTTACTGTTCTCCTTAATTTGTAAAGGTAACCAAATTCTATTGATTTTCAACCACTGTGCAGCTACATTTTATGCAAATTGCTTTGAATCATCGATAGTTGCCCAGGCACAAAACACAACAACAACAACAAAAACTTTTTGAGCCCTAACAACCGCATAAATTTCACACCAAAACAACAAATGAACAGAAAACCAAAAATAAAAGCCTGGTGGAAACATCACAATTTGCTGCAAGCGACTGCTACATACGCTGTTCTCCGTATAAAAACCTATTTAAAAAGTAGCAGAAAAGCTACTTGATTAATTGGTTTATTGAATACGTAGAAAAAAGATCTACTTGAATATTTGATTTGGGGACTCTAAGACTGCAATTCCCAATCAGTTTCCTTCAAACTGTGACTTAAGGAAATTACGTTCTCTCGATCTCTTTTATGGAGTAGCGACTAAGTATTTTATCAAAGCTTCTCCGTCTATTCATGGACATTGTCAACCTTATAATTTTTCAGAATCTTAAAAATTTTCCAATAAATGAAAATCTTTCGAAATTTTTGTAAAGATTTCGCAAAACTTTTCTTAATTTTAGAAATTTAATTTAAAAATGTTGTCTGCTCAGCAAAAATTATCCTAAAATATACAATTTAAGAAAATATTTTTAAACATTTTTAAATATATGGATATTTTTTCCAACTGAACCATTTTCTTTTAATATTTCTTTAGAGCGTATAATTCCAGTTTCAAGTCTCAAGACGAATATAGAAAATCAACAATATACTCTTCTTAATTTGTATACAGAGTATAGAAAGCGGTAGCAAAAAGTTTTGCTCGTTGATAAGGCAGCACTGCGAACAAGGAAATTACATTAAACGCATATGCATATGCATCTATATATCTGATGGTTTTATTACTCAGTTATGGAACATGAAATTCGTGGAATTATGGCAATTTGTCACATGATTTTCGGCAATCAACATGGCCAAGTCAGGCAAGGATATCGCCAGAACTTACCAGAGCGCAGGAGCTTGCAAATATTGTCAGCGGAGTTGAAGTTAGAGCTGGAGCTGGAGCTGGTGGCGACATTGGCAATGAGGCGGACGCAGACGATGACTTTTCACACAGAAGCTCAAAGACATGCCAATCCTCTTTCGTATTGCCATCCGTGTCGGGCCGCAGATTTGCCGGCATTACGACCACAATAATAGCTAAAGATATATTCTATGCTCGAAATAACTCCCGAGTTTCTAGCTGCTTTTCGACCGTGTAGAATTTCTACTATTCTCTCTATTTGCAAACAGTAAAAATGCTAACAGCCTGGCAACAGTCTAATCGTCGAAAGACCAGTTGCCAGGCGCACAAATAACGATACATAAGACCCCAAAATGGGCGGGGTCCCTAAACACGTGGGCGTTACTAGGGCAATGCACAGCCCGAATCAAGTGGAGTCTATGCGCTTCTAAGCGCACTCCAGCTAATACAGCGGGTGTGCTGTAGACAAAGAGTGCCCGCCTGGCAGATACCCTCTAAAAACTTTGAACTCCATTCTGCAAAATCTTTCAACTTTCGGGCGTATACCAACCGACTTGAATAACTTCAATATTAAAGTCCGATTTGTATAAAATTTTTCGAACTCAAATATGGCAGACAAAAGCAAAAGGTTCTACCTTAAAAAATAGGGTTTTCTTCGATTTGTGGGGAAATAGAAGAGACATTCAATAAGTGAGAAATATGTGTTCTTAGTATACTTTACCCACATACTAAATTCTATCTCTCTCTCTCTCTCTAGTTCTCCGTAACATGCTTAGAAAAATTAAGCTGCAAATCGATAATTATCGATTACCTGAAAACGGGGTATTATGTAGTTCCACGTTTCGCAAACCTGATTTCGCATTTTAACGATTGCTTGTAATATTTTATAACGATAGTTGCTTTTATTTTACACAACCCTGCCTCTGCAAATCGAATGAGTACAGGGTATCAGCACGCACAACAATTTCGCTGTTTTGACAAATGCATTTGGTAAATGTTTGCACAAAGTTGTTTGGCTTGACTTTGATTTTGATGTGGGGAGTCGACGACGACGACGACATCCCTTTTCGGGCAATTTGTGTTGAAATTCTATTTTTGGGGGTACCGCGGCCCGAGAATTTGAAGTTTATTCCTGTTATGGGTTTGTTTTGGTTGCCAACACAGGTTTTTTTTTTGTGGTAGCTTTTTGTTCTTGGCATTGCTAAGAGACTTGAAATTTGAATAAATATTACTTCTTCTTTTTCTTGTTCTTGTTCTTGTTCTTGCCGGGCGAACTAGTTCTGGGTGATTTACTCTTTCGCGAGCCCAGCTAATTAATGGTAGAAATAGAAAAGATATTATAATATGAAATAATATGCTAAATGAAAAGTTGCATAGACTTGCCGATTTTGTGGAGCGTCGCGATCTACGAGTACGCGATCCTTCCTCTTCGCTACCCAGCGCAAGTACCTCCATGACTCGGACTTTAAACATTTCCACTTGATCATTATAGAATTTGAGATCATCCTTGGCCTTAACCCACAGATTACGCGTTATATTGCACTCCAGTTCGGCCGCCTCGATATCCGTATCGAGCTGCTCCTGCCAGGCGATAATTGCCGCCCTATAGCTGTCTATCTGATATTGGCATACGAAGTCTTCGTACCCAAATGTCTCTCTATTCTGTTTCATGTTATACAGCAGCTCTCTTATCTCATTCAGATAGACGTTCTCCTTGCTTTGCAGCCACATCTTATGCTGGTCCCCACAGCTGCGCAGCCAATTGACGCGATAGCGCATCTCTATCAGCATCAAAGCTGCAAGAATAATCAAATATCATTTTCCGTCATTTTCAATTCATCCATTACAACATGGTCGTCCATAACTTGCCGTCAGCCTTGTCATTTTCGGCCACCATTCGGGGACCGAACTGCGAATCCAAACGACATGCACTTCCATGAGAAATGACGACCAAATCCTTGTGGGCAGCGCGCAGCTCTCCGAGTTCCTTTACCCAGATTGAGTTCACCTCATAGTTCGATTCTCTAAATTCGTATGGAATTGAAATGATATATATGTAACAATAAGAAGCGCACCCGATTTGAAGTCGGCATAGCAAGTTTTTTTCTCGAACAGAACCTTTAGACGGAATACTCACAAGGAGTAATTTAATCATTATTGCCCGACTAGAGGATACCCTAAGCCCAGTGCTGAGTTGCCGTTATAATCTTATAACTTCCTTCTATGTATACACACATTTTGTGCAGCCCCTGTGCTTCCTCTTCCTATAGCACAATTTAATGGAAAATATGTTCGAGATTAAGTTCGGTACTTGTTGTCCGATCTTCAAACAATTTTCAGGGCGTACATATAGCATTAAAATGTATGCAACTATCAAAGCCCAAGACCGTACTTAAAAAAATGCGATTCAACACAGTTTTGTGGAAAATGGAGAGTTATCTTAAAAGTGAAATATATATGCATATAATATAATTCAAGCTTCTACCTCTAATAAGATTGATGCTTTGCCCAAAAAGAGGATTTCGATATCGATCGATATCGATTTCTCAGAAACGGAGCTTGGAATAAACCTAATCGGCGGCGAATAGGTTGACCTACGTACAAAATTGTAGTCTATGTGATCTCTGACATTTCTAGATCTAAACGGCATATATAGATCTATATGGAACACTCTTGATGAATTTGCAGCCATCAAGCCAAGGTACTTACTTCAATAGCTCTATAGAGCTTTTGCAAATATCTTGATCCGTACAGAAGTCCAACTTGATGGCTTCGAGCAGTCGTATAATTTCCTTAATATCAATACAAAATTTGGTACAATCCAAATCATGCTGCGTCCTCTCCATGACCAGCACATCCAGATACAGTTGATTGATTTTGATGCGCTGTACGAAATCCTCGCACGTCCAGTGGAAGAGCTTGTTCGGTATTTTGTCGACTTCACCTGGCCATATGTGAAGGATCGTCTCGATTTGCTTTCTCAGCCGAACCGAGAGGAATTCGATGGCTGCCTTTTGAAACTGATAGAGGAAGATCTTGTATAGCACCTGTAACTCTTCCCATGTAATCAATGGTCGGAATTCGATTATGTCCTCAATCTTAATCGTTTTGCGTGTTTGCAGCATCTTTATTATAGCCATTCCCTCGGCCGTTGTAGACTGATATCGAACCGATGACTTTCTTACAAACTGTTGTTCCCATTCTTCAATATGTTCATAGGGTTTCAGTAGCTTGTTAAGAAATTGATCGCGACAGATGGCCGAATCTTCATGCGCTGGTAAGGGAAACGGTATTGGATGATCGGCAAGATTTATAATGGATTCCTCATCCGATTCACTGCTTAAATTATCTAATGCCATTTTGTTTATCTGAATATACGAGTTTTCAGTGTTTGTGTTAATTTGTTTTAAAATTACTGAATTTTCTGTTTAAGAAACTACTCTCTGAGCTGAAATAAAGTCTGATCTGATGTTAGACTTAAAGCTAAATAGATTGCTGAGGTATGGAAATCCAAATATACATATATCAGTGGGAAATCGAAATAAAGCATCGAATTTTCCTAATCAAATCGACAACCCTGTAGGTTGTAGGTCCTCCTAGTCCCCGCGCAGATCGAGTTTGTTTCCGATATTCGTTAACTTGCCCCGTTTCCAAGCTATCGATAAAAACTATATCGAAATCCTGTTTTTTGGGCAATTTCGCTAAATAATATGAGCTAGACTCACCAAACTTGACATGTAGCTTCTAGAATATTATATGTATATACATATATCAATTATCTTTCATTTTATACCTATCGCCTGTTGGAAGGTTTAGGGTATCACCTAGTCGGGAGCTCCCGACTAAAACCTCTTACTTGCTTACTTTGCACTTCCGGATTACGAACGAATCGGGTTTGTTCCTATATTTCAACTTGTATCGAAACCAATAAGCAACCAATATAATAAGCTATTGAAAAATGATCAAGAACAAAAATAAAACCCATTGCATTAAATTGAATTTGTAATAGTATAAAACTATGGTAAATGTTTAACATTTGAAAAACGACCAGTTCGAAAACTATAAACTGAGCTAGAATTGGGAACTGTCCTGATTCTTGAACCAATAACAAAACGTAAACAGTCTGGCAACGCTGCTAGAAATTGAGCCACAAGACTTCAAAACTTCTTGCTGCCATTTGATTCATTCCATGTTCAATTTTCGTACAATCCAAGAATAGTTTTTGTACAAAAGAAAAAATTGGTGCTCACTTCCGGTGAAAAGAACATCTGCCCAGCGCTCATGTTGCCCCAATGCCAGGGCTATAAATAAAAGTCCCTCGCCGCAGCAGCAACAAAGAGAGAGAGCAAAGGGCTGGCGACCCGGTTTTCGCTTGATTGTGCGGGGTTGGGGGGTCGGGCCCCGGGCCCGGGCCTGGGCCTGGGCCTGGGCTGGGCTGCCAGCCTGGCAGTGTCTGGCGCTGGTTGCCTGCTGCACTTTGCTGCTCGCCTGTTGCAGTTTCTAATCGAATCGAAACCTTTTACCCAAATGTTGCCTACGGCCGCTAAGTTGGGGACGCCCTTTGTTAGCTAAAAAAGTATCGTGATCCATATATGTATGTGTGTGCAGGGCTCGCAATTATGATTATTTGTGTGGTGTGTGTGTGTGTGTGTGAGCGTGCCACATGCAACACACAACCTGCAACATGCTTATTCATTGCCACCTATCAATGCTGTTCGCCCGTTCGAATTTGTTCTGTTAAAATCTGTGCGCTGCTTTGACAGTGCCGCAAAATGTTGCACAGCAGCAGCGGCAACAGCAGCAGCAGCATCAAGCACCATTGTGTATGTGTGCATATGGCTATCTCGCTCGCACGCGAGCCCTTTGCCAGCGAGCATCGAAAGACAAACTCTGCCTGCTGCAGGCCAACATGCACTACCCCCCGTCCCTCGTCCCTTGTCCGACGCTCAACATAAACCGACACTTTGCTATGCCAGCTGCCAGCTGCTAGGGCGAGGGACATACACACACACACACACACAGACGCACACATGCAAGCGTATGTTTGTTTATATGTTAATGCTGCGGCTGGCTATGTTGCTGTCCCTCACATACATACGTACGTGTATTCGTATTCTGTTCTGTTCTTTTCTGTTGCTGGTTCTGTTTGTGATTTGTGCTGTTGCTGTTGTTGCTGGTCGCCTGTTCGAGCGCACCATCGAAATTTCACATGTAATTCCCACGGCCTGAATTTTCCCACACAAAGCGAAGAAGAGGAAGCGAAATTCAACAACAAAGCGACATACGGGCGATTGGGACAGACAAGAGCAGCAGCACACACACACACACACACACATACACATGAACATAACACAGACAGCACTTTTTTTTTTATTGCATTCAATGTGGTCCCAGGGTCGCTGGTCGCTAATCGGCTCGTCTCCTTCTTCACACACAAACACACACACAGGCACACACACACACACGCGCGTATATTGTTTCGTTATTTCGTTTTGACATTTTTTTTCTTTGAGCCGCCTTTTTGTTTCATCAGGGAGGCAAGCGCAGATATCTCTATGTATGTAGGTAAATTTAAATTTCAAATACATACATATGTACATAAATTATTTTTTTAATTCCACATTTACATTTACATTTAATGCACTTGTCATATTCTAATTGGATGAACAAATATAATGTTTCCAACAAGGCTGTGAACTGATTTGGAACTAAACTGGTTCCAATCCGGAATCCCTATTTTTTCAATTACCCTTAAACGAATCTACATAAATGAACATCAAACGAAGCGTCTTTCTTTAAAAACGGATTTGATGAAAACAAATTTTAACTATTATTTAGTTTAAGCTAATTTAAAAAAATATTTATTAAGAAAAATATAAATTATTATTGCAGCATTTAAAACTAGACAAATACGTAACCGATCAAGGTTCAAATCCAAAACTGGATTAATAGATACATACATATGAAACCGAACTTTAAGGAGAGGCCATAGAGTAATAAACAGATACATATGTATGTATATTTATTACTCTATGGGTTCGAGTCATAAGCCGAACTACCGAATATAACATCTACATATTTGTTAAGTTCTAAAAATCAACCTATCATGTTGAAAATCCACCAGTTGAAATCCTCCATGCCCTTCATTCTTCAACTTGTTTTTGTTGCTTTTGAAATCTCAAATTTCATACTTTCTGAGGGAATGACCTCTTGTTGCAACTTTCAAGCACAGTGGTCTGAGACGTTTCAAAAAAGTAACTAAATTAAACCTTAAACACACTTAAAATTAATTTAAATATATGATTCGTAACACTTGTTTTCACATTTTTACATTTGTGCATTCATAAAAGTAATTCAAATATTTATCGGCCCACTGTGTATTCACTTGGGCGCTGAAAGTGTCAGTCAACTTTGAGGTTATGCAAGCATGGCCTTGAGTGCACTTCTAATGGCCCGTGAACCTGCGCGCTGCTCAACACTGAACAGATCAAATGTATTGCTCAAAAGGTAAGGGCGGGCATGGGGCAGGGGCAGGGGCAGGGGTAATGTTATAAGGGCAGAGGCAGAGCGGATTCATGTCGCCTTGGTTATATAGCATAGCAGTCATTCCAGTTATTTAGAAGGCATTGACTGCAACGCCAGCTCCGGCTACTGCACTCCTGGTTCATCAATATGTTCAAGGATTTTTTCCTGCTTCCAGGCATGCCAATGCCACTCACTGTCTCCGTATCTGTGTGTGCGTGTGTGTGTGTGTGTTTGTGTGCATGAGTCGATGGCTTCAGTTTGGCAGCTGACTTGAAGAGTCATGAGCGGAACGAGCACATGCGTGTTTGAGTGCCTCTCGGTTCTGGGGTTGGGGCGGGTGTTATATGAGTTGGGAATCTTTTATTTTTGGAAATTTCGGGCATGTGCGCTACATTTGCTGCTATCCTGTGGCCCTAACTCGGCAGGAGTAACAAAAAATGCGCTTAACGAGTAACATGCACACGCATACATACATACATACATAGCTAAATACACACACACACACACAGCACTTGTGATTTATTTAGCTCGGAAACAAAGCTCAATTTCAAGCAACGTTCAAATCAAAAAAGTCAAAGCCATTTATAGCTTGCTCAAACTAAAGCTCAAATTTCATATCACTCAGCGAAAGACACAGCTTTTTCGGTATGCCGAATGCTAAATACCCTCTAATGGCATGTGTCTCATTGAGTAATAATTAGATAATATTTATTACTTAATGCATGTGTCATAAGAGTGCTTTTATACAAGAACATAATTTCAAATCAATCGTTCCTATCACAGCTACATAAGCAATATACTGTTCTGATCCGAGTCGTCTATAGACTTCGTATAGACTTCGTTACAAAATTGTAATACTCTCTGTTAGAGTATATTGAAAAGCTCATTTTTAAGCTTAGTGGCTTTGACTACTCAAATTGCTAGCGAGTGTAACCGCCACTCTCCACCGTTTGGCGCCATTTCCCAACGGCGAAGCTTTTGGTAAACAAACTTTTTGCCTGCCAACACAGGCGCACACACGCTATACAATCACACACACACACTCACACACACGCACGCACACACACATGGGCAATTCACACTCATTTAAACGCAACGAAATGAAACGGCGAACGGGCCGCCGAGTGAATGTCACGGCGAGAAATCTCTCAAAGCTGCCTGCTACGCACTCTGAACGCCTGTTCATTAGAGTCCATGAATTGAAATTGTGTGCAACGATGACGGCGGTCGCATGTCGAAAATAAAAAAAACAAAAAATATGGAGGCTTGGGAATGGGCGATTGTTATGTATTTGGGTGGTGCGGCGGTTCAAGAGTTCAATTACTTGCGTGTGTGTGTGTGTGTGTGTGCAGCCGCTAATGGCGCTTGAAATCCATGTGCGACTCAGAGTTGAGTGCGCCGCCGACTGGCTCTGGAGCTGGAGCTGGGCTTGGGCATGGATGGCTATGGGTCGCCTCTACGTTCCCGTCAATTCAATTTGCGCGCAATTTGCTTGCGCTTCCAAGAGAAGAAAAAAAAGAAAACAGTAAATAAACTAGAGCAATGAGCAGCATCATTTAGATTTAGACCGGAATAGTAACAGGCGCGCAGCGTCGCTTTGCAAGCGTTCCGTAGGTACAGTTTTTTTGTTGCCGTTGGAAGTTCAGTTCATGCGCGTCTCGCTCTATGTCACTCTAGCTGTCCCACTCGCACGCCTGCCGCTTTAACTGTGAGCTTTTCGCTGTTGCGTTTGCCGCGAGTTTTAAATATGAGCTTTTCTATAAACAACAGATTGTTTTTAAGATTTAAATCTAATATTAAAATATTTAATATAATATAATAATATTAGTTATGAATGCTTGAGACATTGTCTTAATAAAGATAATTGTCTTTAGCAATAATAAATATACTTGGGCCTTGGTATTTTTTTAGGTATTTTTGGTATTTGTCACACTGGACAAGGACA